ACTCACAGAACCTGATTCCAGGCTGAAACACCAGCAGGCCAAGCCTGGATTTAGTATGCAACACTGAGGCTAGACAATACTGTTTTGTAAACTTAGGTAGAGAACAGTTGCTGCTCTGAAAATCCCTTGGATGAGAACTGATCTGAATCCAGTTACCTTCAACGATATGTCACTGACTGAATGAGCCTTAACATGACCTTGCAAACTGAATTCTTCTAAGGAATAATAATGAAACATGAAGTCAGCCATTTTGATATGACTGCTCTAGACAATTTGTCCTACAGTTATACTCTGCTAACATTGCAGCCCCTTCTTCCCACAACCAAATGCATTAATATTGTATAAACCAAAAACTAAAAAAAAATTAAAAGATAGCACAAAATATAGTAGGTCAAATTAATCTGGCACCTGCAAAGACATCCACATTTGCAGCAGGCTACATTGGAACCATGGTTTCCCAACAGCCATCCCCAAAGGCAGAGCATCACACTGGTATGTAATTAACACTTCCATGTCATAAATGACAGTTGACTAATTTATCTATGAGACAAAATGAGTGAGGTAATATCTTTTAATGGACCAACTTCTGTTGGTGGAAGAGACAAGCTTTTGAGCTGAACAGAGCTCTTCTTCGGGTCTGGAATAAGTAATCAGTGTCGCAGCTAAATACTAGGTGGGACAGATTGTTAAGCATAAGGTGTTAACACATGTTGCAGGAGACCAGTTAAAGTGAAATGGGCAATTAATACCTCTTCCATCATAGGACAAAGGAGGGTTAGTAGGTTACCGATTGTGGGAATAAGCCATAAAACAAGAGTCAATGCCATGAATTTTGGTATCTAGCAGCATGATAAATTTAAATTCCCAGGCTTAGCTTTTGAAGTTGTTGTGCAGGTTTCCTGTGAGCACAAGGACTGGGAGATCTGATATGGAGTGATTGCTCTGTGAAAAGGGTTCACCAGTGGGTGATAGAGTGTTTTTGTCTCATCATTTTTCTGTGAGAGTTCATTTGAGAGTATAGAGATTGTCCAGTTTCGCCCACATAATTGCTGGGGCATTTGAGCCTAATGTAGCCTCAAAAGTTCACTTTGGATCTGATCCAGTTCCATTTAAATTAATGAGAGTTGGGTCAGGCTTTTCTAGTACCCATGTCATTTGTAACAATGGGAACATTGAGACTTCAAATTCAAGGCAGGAAAATGGCATCTGCAAATATGACAGTTCCCTCCATCATTTACTATTTAAATCGCCCCTGGTGCATAGAAGCATTCAGCCTGGGATTTTCATAAAAACCTAAGGAAGTTAGGCACCCTTTGTGCCTTTGAAAATCTCCCCACAGAAACTTCTTGTGGATCCATTTTGTTTAGTGTTTAATAAACTAAATACAGACTGGATATTTTACTTTAGAGCAGACACTATTTAACCTTGAATTGAAAAAGTGACCTTCAACAGGCAGTAATGCACTTCAGTTGTGAAACTGAGATTCACTATTGGTCATTCCTTCAGTCCCCCGCCAATAGTTTGCCATCATAAACCTCAAGTCCAGTCAGTAAGTATTGTGTATTATATAGAGAATAAACATGTAACTGTGAATTATGGAGCTGTAATTCTATTGATGGCTTCTGGTAATATCATAAACCACAAGTTTGGAATCTTGGATCTATGCCTTACATAAGTTACTACTCCACACACCCCTAATGCTTTCTTCATCCCTCCTTTCTTCTCGTCTACTGCCAGAGAACCGCTTAGGCCATGAGGGCAATTTTCCTTTAACATTCAGTTTATGATCACTGTTATAGTGGTAGTGCTGAGTTATTTAATCTGGGGTTATGTCACAACCAGGAGCCAGAAGATTTTTGTTCATGTACTCATGAGTATAACACATGCAGAAGAGGGCTGTACGCCTTTCACAATTTACATGGCTACAGAAATTCCTAGGAATTTGGCCCAGATATGGGGCTCACAGAAATCTTTTTCTCTGCTCTGCTTGGTAATGTAAGACAGACAAAACAGATAAAACTTGCTGATCGGCACTGTGCCTGGACTCCTGCAGAACAAGCAGAACACTGACCATAGAATCATTCCTGCACTCTGCCACAAGGAAGTTGTGAAAGCCTTTGCCAGCAACGGTAGAGCATGAAGGAAAAGAGGTGGAGCCAGAGTAGTCACAAAAGATCATCCTGATCCCCCAACACTAACTTCCAGCTTCTGATCTATCTGCAGTGACTGAAGTCCCAACCTCCCAGCTGGTAACTCCCATAGCAACAGAACCTTAACACCCCCACACAAACAGTGGTTTTTATTGAATGAAAGGTATCACTACCTAGTGTTACTAATTTTTATATTTAATTGAATAAGCATTTTCTTCTGCACACATTTCATATCTGAGGAATTTCTGTTTGTCACAAAGTCTCAGAAATCAAGAAGCCTTGCTGCTGAATTTAGGTTCAGTGTGTGTCAGAATAGGTCCTTAATATAATATACACAGTACAGAAAAATACTTTGTAGGTGTCAACGACTAGTACAGGAAGCACAACTATTCTAACATTTAGAATTTTAGAATTCTGACCTGAATACTTTTTAAATAACAAGAGCAAAATTTGTTTAAAAAATGCATCAGGAAAGGACAAATGTCACTGGACACTGAAGGTTCAGTACCATTTATTAGTAGTTATGATTCATTAGTGAATTCTTACTGAAATGGAACCAAAAACATCACATACTGGTTAAAAATAAAGTTCTAGAAGTGCATTTACTCCAATAACTATTGAAGTCAATGGAGGTCTTTCCACTAACTTCAATGGGCATTGGATCCAGCCCTTAATTATTTATTAGTTCTTTGTGCTAAATGCCCTCATTTCTCAGGTGGACAAACCCAGTTTTTGGTCCAGTGTCTCCTGAGGTGTCCTGCTGGCCAATCCATAAAACCATAAGAACAAATGACAGGGAGGGATCTCCTGAGTCATCGAGTCCACTCCCCTGTTATTGCAGGCATATAATCCCATTAATAGAATAATAAAACCATTGGAATGTAGGGCCCCACTATTCCTATGGTCAGCTGTTCCAGAACCTCACTTAACAGTTAGAAACCTTCTTCCCACTTCCAGCCTAAATTAACTCTTGGCAAGTTTATACCGAAAATACATAGTAAGAGCACACTTTGTGATGTATTAATGCTTGCCTATTAAACTGATTTACTGCCTATTCCAGTTTACCCTAAATCTTTCAATAAAGCACAGAAAATGTACATGAAATTAACTCGGAAAGAAACTATGACAAGAATTCACAGAGAATTTGCCTTGCACAGCCTACATTTCAAAGCAACAGTACTGTGGGGAAAAACAGACACAGTAAAAATGAGATGGTGTTTTCCTCTAAATTATTTGTTACTGGTTTTGGATTGTTTGCTTGAGAACTAAAATATGCTGAATCTATGGCTTCAATGTTTTATACTATGGCAAAATCTGTTTTGTTTTAAATATCATATATCCATGTACATATGTAGCTGTATTATGAAAAATCCTCCCCCTGTACACATAACACATAATGACAGATGGGGCTAGACGCATTATTCTCACACCTGCAGGCTTCGGTGCATATTTGCTCTTTTCAGTTTTCCTCTGTCATATGGTATGTTACTGAAGTGATTTCCATGATTTGGTAGACAGATGTGGAGCACAGCTATTGAATTCCCATCACCACTATATTTTTTTAGTACATATTTAAGACTAGAAATCTTAACACAACACAAACAGTATCTTCTCTAAACTATTTGCATATTCAAATATATAATTTTAATTTTAGATAACTATGGGCTACATCCTGCAAACACTCCTGAGCATATGCTTATTCCTGTGCATTGTGCCACATAAATCCATGGGAAGTTGATGGAACTATGCACAAGAGCCTGTGGGGTTGAGTCCATAGATATCTACTACTGATATTTCATGTTTTTAAAGTGTTAGGAGAAGATACTGTATGTGCCATGTACTAAAGCAGTAGGATAATAGTAACTCCATAGCTTTGCACCCCATCTGTCACATATATTGGATGGTTTTCGTTCTTTGTAGGTAGATACATAGATAGATAGATACCCTTAACCTTTCATAGACTTCTTTTGGTTACTGATAGCTTGTGAGGAGCTGGTTGCCTTTAAGGATTGCTTTTATTTTTCAAGTCAAAAAGTGATATCATAATCTTGCATTCGTGACAGCACAATCATTTCCTTGACAAAAACAGTGTGAGAGCTTAGCAGAGGTAAAATTAAACAGTTGGTAATGTTAAATAAGATGATACAGTGGGTTTCAAAAGGGGAAGCACACAACATACTGCAACAAAATTATCTCTGAAAATTGTTACTAATGGCCAAATAAATGCAAGAGTGCCTTTGTTCAATTCTTTCTAAGCATGCTTTCTGGTCAAAGCATCTCTTCAAAAGTAGTTAAATATTTTAAAATTTATTCATCATAACCTAGATATTATGAATGATAGCTTTCTCTCTCTCTCTACCTCTGATTAGCACAACAGTTATCTTCTACTAGGTGAAATATTTGCTTATTCCAGGTTTGCTGCTGATTCTAAAAGGTACTCTTTCTGTGTTACTGCGTAGGCAAAAGAAAAATATGAATTTCTAGCTAAGTAATTTGCTGCAAACAATTATTTTAACAAAATATGTTTTCCGTCTATAGACTCTACAGTTTGATTGGGTACTACAATAAACGGGACCAAAATAGGGGCTCAAATTTTCTGGAGGGTCTTTGCCAGGCCAAAAGTTGTTCACTCACCATGCTTTTTTTTTTTTTTTTTTTTTTTTTTTTTTTTTTTTTTTTTTTTT